GTCTTAGTTAGGCATCAGATAGATGGTTCTCCCCCAAAAATGACTGAGACGAACCCTGTCTCAAGATTTTCAGGGACAAATTACATTCTAGAGCGTGTCCTAAATGTTTAGGTCACTTTGTCCAAGCACACTGGATTATGAAGGCATTTAAACATGACACCCAATAAGGTGCTTTAAATCCTAAGGAAATCAGTCCCTCTTTAATTACCTGCAAAGAGAAAGCCTCCGATGGATCCCAATACGGCTTCCGCCTCTCGGACACTGCCTGAACTTCCCTTATAACAAAGAGTGAGCAGACCAGAGCTCCAGGACTCCCACAACCCACTGGTTCAGCGAGAAATTCATGTGATTATTTTATTTCTATTTGGTGGCCAGCCCTACTGGCTTTCCATTTTTTACACTGATACCATCATTTCTTTTCAAGTAAGTCTGGCACAGGCATTTGGCACACAGAACCCAAATATTGTTCGAGAAACCAATATCCCAGTGCCTGGGCTAAAGTCCCGCCTCTTCTACTGATTCTGCTTTCTGCTCACGTGTATCTCGGCAGGCAGAAGGTGATGGTTCCATTAGTTGAGTCTCTGTCACCCATGTAGAAGACCCAGACTGAGTTACCAGTTCCCAGTTTTGGCCTGGCCCAGGCGTTTAAGAAGTGAACCAGCACATCCAACTGCTTGAATCTCTCTCAAATTGACAATTTTAAAATAAACAAATTCAAGTTTTAGAATTGATCCAGTTTAACACAAACATTCATCAGATAATAGTATACATAGTTAAATGACCTAAAATGATGAAACTAGGTAGCAATGGTATTCAATGTCAAAACTGAGGTATTTATATCACAGATTCAGAACCTATGATGTGGCATAGCACACTAACCCACTGTGGGTTCCAGTTCAAGTTCCAGTTGCTCCACTTCTGGACCAGTTCCCTGCTTATGGACTAGGAAAGCAGCAGAGGAGAGTTCAAGTGGTTGGACCCCTGGGCCAGATCAGGAAGGAGCTCCTGGATCTTGGTTTCAGCCTGGCCCAGCCCATGCTGCTGCTGCTGCCATCTGGGCAGTGAACCAGCAGATGGAAGAGCTCCATCTCTATCTCTACCTTCCAAATAAACAAAATAACTCTTAAAGAAATATTATAAATTCATGAGCCTTTCTGTTCAGGAAACTCAGAAGTCAGCATATTGCCTTGAACTGTTCCTCCCTGTTTCCTGCTATTTCTCTTTTCCCTCACCTGGAGTGTAAAGCCCTTCTCTTACCTGCTTTCTTTGGGATGCCAAAGGTGACAGTGTGAGGACAGCACGCAGGAGCACATATGACACAGAAACTAACTATAGTTGGCAGTGTGAGGCAGCACATAGCAGCACACACAACACCTTAACTATGATGACAGTGTGAGGACAGCACACATGATACCATAACCACAAGCGGAAGTTTGCCCCAAGAGCCAGCAGTGAAGCACACACCCTCCCCAGACCCTGGGACTTCCACTCTGAACCTCTAGGGTGCCTGTATCTGAACAGAACAAAGAGAAAACATCCCACAACAGCACACCCGTAAGTTCTATCCCTTCTGACTTCTGTTCCTGGAAAGAGGTTTACCAAGCCTCCACCCACCCATGGCTGTGGATGAACCAAGTGCTGGTTCTCTGGGCTGGAGATGCTCAAAGAGAAGGCGCCAACCAGAAGCTCCACAACCAATGTGCCCCTGCCCTCAGCACCTGACACTAATCAAGTTCTAAGTAGAAACTCAGCCAGGCAGCTAAAAGAGCAGCAGTGACCACCTAATCCAGGCCAGACTCCAGGCTCCTCGGGAGAAGAATGGCACACTGCTCACCAATCTCCCAAACCAGCAATGCTCAGAGAATGGTGAATATTTCAGGAAGATACCACAGTGGGTCCAGGGTTCCCAAACAGCCATCATCAGCCTACTAGTGGCAACACCACGGAACCTGCTAGGGCGGCTTCATGGATGGGACTTCAGTGGCTCTTCTGCACAAGTCAGAAGGGGTGCGGGAAGATGGACTGTGCACAGTGTGCCTGTCCTGTTGGGTAGCCAGTGGCACAGCTCACAGCCCTGTCAGCCGTTCTTCCTTTCATTTCCATCATAATTGCCAGTTTGTTTTCCTGGGTACCATGGCGCACTGAGCAGGGAAGGCTGGGATGTCTCAGGGTAGGCGCTTTTGTTGGAGGCTGGATTGTAAACAGGAACGTTATCTCCCCCTGGAGAAGGCTCATGGCTGCACGCAGACTCATCCATCCACTCACTCCTTTGTTTCCCAGAATCAGAGTCAGGCTTCTAAGCTGGGGAAGGGGACTGTGGGCTTGGAGAACAGCAGAACAGCAGGACAGCAAAGGGCCCTGAGTGCTCTGGAGGCTGAGAGACCACCTTTTGGGAATGGAGCTCTTTGCAAAACCCTCGACAAAAGCCCTTAAAACACCATCAGTCTGCTTCACACCCACGTTCAAAGCAGGAGTCACTTAGGAAAAGAGCTCAAGGATACAGCACAAAAAACAACAAGCCACTGCAAAATTAAACACGATTGGCCAAGTCCATGTCTTTCCATAAATAGTCTTTGACTTCTAAGCCACTCCTCTGGCCCCCTATGAGTACAAATTGGCAGACAAGGAATAACAGCTTCCAAAGGCTTAGCTGAAAGAGATGCACGAGTGAACTTAAATAGAGAAAGTTACCTTTATTCATGCAATTCTTAGTGAATTGGGAAGACATCAATTCCTTAAGTCATGAAAAGCCAAGACTATTAGACACATGGTTGGAGAAGTCTTGATTTTGTCCCCAACCTTCCCCAGATGGAAAGGTCGAGCTACAGGAGGAAGTCATCTGGCAGCAGAAAGGTCCTGGCCGGGGCGGGGGGGGGGGGGGTAGATGGGCAGGTGCTCCAGCACTCAGCCCACTTCCTTCTCGGGTTTAAACACTCTACATTAGGCCTCGGGTTCTGGGTGCTGGGTTCTGGGTGTCAGGCAAGCCACAGCTGTTTCAGCATGCAAGAACTCAGGTAATGCCACACGCCTCACAGCTCATGGCACTGGTGCTGGACTCCTCAGGAGGCCACTCTAACTCCCTCAGTTCCCAGAGAACAGCTTCTGGAGTCTCCATCTAGTCTCCCTGCACACACAATCAGGCATGACTGTCACTTACTACCTGAGGTGTCCCCTAGGTACTTGGGATATATTCAAGGGTTTGTCATCTTTTGGAGAACCATGGAAACTTAGAGCAGTTTACTGAAATATGTGAACTCTTCAAACTGCCACCAGGTGTAGGCAAACAAGGTACCCTCTCCCATGAGGCACTGCTACACGCGGCTGCTCAAGAGTGTGCTGACATAGAGAATTGCTGCTCAGGACCTCCCAGCTCCAGCGGACAAATCCACACTCAGTACTCAGCACATCATGGGAAGGAACCTCTCATCCTCAGCTTTGCAGAGTGGCACCCGGTCCAAGGTAACCTCAGTCTCCAATGCTACTTGGGGGAGACACAAGATATCCCTTGGAGGTAACAGATGAAACAGATGTGCAGCATCCATCTGAGAGCTATCATGCTGGGAAGGAAAAAATCAGGAAGAGGGTGGGATATAAACAGAATGTCTTTTCTAAAAATTAAAAATGCACAGTCTTGAGAGAGTGTTACTACCAAGAAGAGAGGAGATGGGCCAACCAAATGGGGTCCTGGAGTGGATAAAGGACAGCAGGTAAAAAACTAAAGGAAATCTAAATAAACAGCATGAGGATGCAGCCATAATGGCTCGTTAATTACTAACAAATGTGCCCTATTTACGTGAGATGTTTATAATAGGGAAAACTGGGCACAGGTTTTATGGGAACTCTTTGTCCTACCTTCAGTTTGTAAATCTAAAACTACTCTAAACAATAAAGTCTATTTTTAAGATTAAAAATATAATGCATACGGTAAAAGCATCACTCCACATTTTCCAGAACTGTGCTACACTGGAATGATTGCCTGTGGAAACAGCAGGCCATGCAGAGAGTAGGAGTTTCTCCAAAGAAATGCCAAGATGATCTTTGTAAGACCAAGGACAGTGATGTGCCCACACCAAGAAGCACAATCCAGTTTCATAGAAACTGGGGTAGCTGTGCTAAGCCAGTGAAGAAAGGCAAAGCAGGCTAGAGAAACAGAAAGTGGCAGGTGTGAATGTTTGGGCTAGGACAGTCAGCGAAGATGTCTGAGCAGGGATCCATGGTGATGGAATCAAGCATGCACTGGTCTAGAAAGACATACCCAAAGCAGAGGGCAGAGTCAGTTCAGACTCTGAGGCAAGGGTGACCAAGTCACAATATAGACAGCCACTGTCCTGGAGCAGGCAGGTGGAAGAGGCAGGAGGTGAGTTTAGAGGAGATGGTGAGGGTTGGTCATTTCTGGTAGATCACTGCAGTGTGAAGTAGATGATAGATTATGAATATGTATGTGGGTAGGGGGAATGGATGGGTGGACAGACAGAAGGATAAACACAATCTGATGGATTCCCTCCAGGAGTCCACTGACTACAGGTAAGAGAATACATAAGCTTACAAGTTGATGGGCTGTGTGCCATCACTACTCAACAATGTGCCAAATCAGCCCTTCAGGAGGCCCTGGAATGTACATTCCTCCATGAAGAGCTCTACAGAGGAATGCTGATCCATTATCTGGGACTACCAGATCTTCACCCCAAGGAAAAACTGCAGAGGAGCTTACTAGATGGAGCCTGAGAGTCAGGAAGGACATCTTCCCCTCCGGTCTGTAGGCAGGTCAACTGCCACAGAACATATTGGCATCCCACGCCACCTCCTGGAATGGCCTAGGCCTAATCAGTTGCCCTAGCATGACTACAGCCCTTCTTCAAGTCTTTGAGCAACAAAACCTAAGACCTCCTACGAAACAACACAAAGAAGCCAGCAGCTGCTAGGCCAAAGTCAAGGCTACTGAAAAGTAACCCCTGTCACCAAGTGCCCATCACAGCCCAAGTCTACCCACCCAACCTTACCTCCAAGTCCTTCTCCAGCTCCAGGCCAGCCGCCATCAAGTTGTGCTCAAACTCCTCCCGCTGCTCCTTCCGCTCCTCCTCCAGGGCATCAAGGGGCCCCAGCTCGATATCACCAGCACGTGGCTCCTTGCCTGTCTCCCCATTGGAGATGATGGCAAGCGAGTGGCCAGGGGACCCTTGGCCTGGGTGTGCTCCACGTTTCCGGTAGTGGTAGGCAAGCACGTAGTCTACCTTCCTCCGGTTGTCATGGAAGTGCATGCGGCTCACACGGGCCTCCGAGGACGCGGGCTCATTGGTATCCAGATAGTTGTTGATGACCTGGTGAGAAACAACAGGGTGGGGCTGATGAGGGCCGGCAAACATAGTATAAAAGACAGAGGAGGCCAACTGGCTTTGGGGTTAGGGAGTGAACTAGGAAGCAAGTCCAGAGGCCCTGACTGCTCCAATGGAAGGACAGAGTGACCTAGGTTCACCTGTCACACTCAGTCTTGAACCCACCTGTCTATGATCTGGGCATCTGTGCCTTTACACATGCTCTGGCATCCATGCACTTTACAGACGCATATACACAGAACACACATAACAGCAGCAAAGCCCTGCATATCCATTCTGCTGGCTTCACACACACAACCACATGCCCTGTACACACACACACACCTGCAAACACCTCTGTTCAGCTCCTGTCTACACATTAAAGTGCCTTGCACATACATATCTAGCCACGTGCGTGATGATACACACACAACCCTCCCTGTGTAGAAAGACACAATATCTCACACGTATCCACATATGACTGCAAACACTACATATGTATACACAAACACACACACACAACTTACCGGCAGGTTCTCTGGATCCATTGCAACAAAGGCCAATGCCCAGCTGCCTGATCTACCCACTGCCCGCCCCTCCCACCCACGGGAATTCACTCCACACTGTGTGCGTTGCAGCCCCACATCCTCCTCTCCCTCCTCCTCCACTTCCTGCCCAACCACCGATGCAGACCCTGCCTGGGGCAGCAGCAAGGAAAACTGATGCTTGCTCTCTCTCTCTCAATCCAAGGCTGGGGAGATAGAGAAGGGGAGGGCAGGGAGAGCAAAGCAGAGCAGAAGCAGAGGAGGGACTTGCCTCCCTCCCTCTGGGCGTTTCCCTGTTTATTACTGGTTTGGTACCCAGCTGCCTCCGCAGCTACCTGAGAGGTCACCAGGGCAACCAGGTGAAGCATCAGGCACAGGGGAGAGGCCCCAGCCACCACCAGCAAAGACAGGTTTCTCGGGCCTGTCAGGGAGGGCAGCCCAGGAGTGTCGCAAGTGGGACCGGCAGGTGGCAACCTCTGACCTCTCGCATCCTTCATTCCCAACCCCCTGACCAGAAAAACCAACATTCCTTGGAAATACAGCCAACAAAAAATCCAGGATTTCTCACACAGACACCTCCTCCCCCCACAACCTGAGCACCCCTCTTCCGTCCCAGCCCAGCACGGCCAGCCCAGTCCCCAACCCACACTTACAGAGCTGCTGCAGGAGCTCTCTGCATCGGAGGTATGGCCAGAACTGTGGCTGTCCTGTGGGCCTGGGGCCTGGGGACCTGGTACCTTGAGGTACTGCTGTGCATGACCCTCTCTGGCCACTGCCCGAGGACTCAGCCGGCGTGGAGAGCCAGGGAGCAGAGGAATATCTGTGAGAGAGAGGGAAACCAAGATATGGTGACACTGAAGATGGAAAAGGCCCCACGGTATGCAGTGCCTCAGCAAGGTAAGCAAGCTCCCATGGGCCAGATGGGAGGGAGTGCATAGAAGAAAGGGAGGCCCTCCAACACACTCACACACCTACCACACACATCCATGCACACACACACTCACACACCTACCACACACATACACATTCATACACAGCACACACACTCATACTCACACCACATACTCATGCAGCCACCATCTCTCTCTCTCTCTCACACACACATACACACACACACACTGGAGGCCTTCTGCAAGAGCTCTTTGGGCTCAGCACTGTCATTCTCTTCTGAATCCCTGTAGAGAGAAGAGGCCACACCAGGCCACCCAGGGTGGGTAGGGCACAGCCTAGAAAGACTTGAACTCAAGCCAAAGGCTGAGGCTTCCAGGCCATTCTTGGGGCACCAAGACCAGCCTGTACTCCACCCAGCTCCCAACCCTCAGAACAGAGCGGCAGGCAGGCCAGCAGCAACACGGGAGGGAGTCCTCACGCACCTGCAGAGCTGTGCTACCCTCCGTACCCCTCCCAGAACAGCCCTTCTCAGAGCCCCCAGCAGGCAGAGCGAGGAGCAGGCTGGCAGGCATTGGAAAAGAAACCACACACAGGAGGGGGCCACCTCTATGACTTGCCAAGGTCTCATGGCTGCCCAGTATTTCCACCTCTGAGAAATGCTTTATAGCAAAGCAACAGCACCAGACCCCAGGGGCTTAAACAGCTGTCCTGCCGCTTGCTGGCACCAACACCTCTCTCTGAGCCTGCTCCTTCAGTGGGAAGAGGGGGAGGACCACAAACCTGCAGCATCGTAACAACCATGAGAACAAAGAATGTATGCAATGCACGCAGGGATGTGCCCATGAGTGCATGGTAAATGATGGTGATTCTCAACGCCATTCCTGTTATTTCAATGTTAGGCAAATAAAGCAGTCAACACCCAGCTCAGCCCAAAGCTCCTGCTGAATCAATGAATAAATCAACAGAGCAAGGACTCTGCAGAGTCTGACCTTCAGATCAGTCACCAAGCTGGGAAACAGCCCCATGCACTCAGCTCTCTCCACCAAGTCCAGGGGGCCGAGACCATTTGGCCCCTGCACTTGACAAACATAATTGCCTTATGAGTCAGACCAGCAGGGTGAAGCTTCCAGAACTATTACTGTAGACCCTCATCTGTACTGTGGGATACTGGATATACTGGAGTGAGAAATCAAAGGAGGAGAACTGAGTCCAGAGCTGGGTTCTGAAGGACGGATGGGCAGAGGTGATCTGAAAGGTGCCTGGAAGGCACTCCCCAGGGAGAGAGGCCACAGGCTGCAGAGGGATGGGGCAGCCTCTGGGTCAGCCCTGTCTTTCCTTCGTTTCCCTGCTTGGCTGCCTCCCAGCTGGCCCAGAGCACCCAGAACAGAAGGAGTCCAGCCCCCAGGGAAGGCCTCACAGCCTCTGGATGTGTAGCTGGAAACCCACAACCGCGGGAGCACGCAAGCACAACAATTTCCTCTAAGGACCAAGTTGTATTCAGATTCACAACTGTGACTCAAAGTATCCCAGAGTCAAGGAGAGTCACCACACCCTCATCTTACCACCTGTGATTTGAGGCTGATGTCCAGGGCTCCCACTAGCCACCCTGGCTGTCCCTACTGCTTGCTCTCCGACAGGTGTATCCAGGCTGCCTTGGAACCCTGTTTCCAAGTTGCCTCCCCAAACCTGATCAGTGCAGAAGCCACAAGGGAGACTCCACGGTCCAAGAAAAACAGACCATAAGGCCCTGGAGGCAGAGAGACCCAAGGGAGCTGGCTTAAGACGTGAGCTGAAGGTAGTGAAGGGTGTGCATGAACCTGGCCGTGAGGAAGGGTGGGGCGTGGGAGCTCACTCCGGGAGAACTCACTAAGAAGCTTAGAGCAGGTGAATTGAGGTCAATGAGAAGTAAAGGCCATCCTACGCAGCTTGTAGATTGTGCAACTCATTTGAAAATGACCACTGGGCTCTGAGCAGGGGCTGCTGGGAACAGCAGCTTCCTGATGAATGTGGCAATGGAGGCCCTGAGCAGAGGCCTGGCTTGATCGTCTCAAGACCCATTAGATAGGTTTTCCCACAGCTTGGATCTGGGGCTTTTCTGCATGCGATGACTCCTCTCCTCCCACTCCCCACTCCTGCCCCACACTCTCCACCAGTGCTGGTGGCCATCATCACCTAGCTCTGTTCTTTAACGCATGGTCCCCACTCAGCACCAGGTCCACACTTTGCCCTGCCCACCTGGCACCTACACATGAATGCCTTTAAGCCTCTCAAAGTCAACATGCCTGAAATCACACTTAAGATCTCCACTATGGAATTCTTGTACCAAATGTTCCATCCTATTCTCAATCCAAGAACCACAAATCTGGAAGCAGCCCAGGTGGCCTCCTCCCCTCAAAACCCATCCCGCACTTGTCACCAGTCCCATGAATTTTACCCTGGAAATCCCTGCCAAACCCACCTGCTCTTCACAACCTCCATGACTCCCACTCTCGCACACAGTCATCTAGATTATTACAACACTCTGCCGGGCCAGGCGCGGGGCCCAGGAAAGCAGTCGAGGACGGCCCAAAGCTTTGGGACCCTGCACCCGTGTGGGAGACCCGGAAGAGGCTCCTGGCTTCGGATCGGCATAGCATCGGCCGTTGCGCTCACTTGGGGAGTGAATCATTGGACGGAAGATCTTCCTCTCTGTCTCTCCTCTCTGTATATCCGCCTTTCCAATAAAAATAAAATAAATCTTTTTAAAAAAATACTCTGCCTACATCCTCCACGCTTTGTGCACCTGACAAGGCAGACAATGAGTCCTTACACAACATCAACTGGCCACAGCATCCCTATATGAATACCCTTCTGGAGCCTTCCTCTCACTCCTGGACTAACACAGCCTACAAAAGCAGACCCCTCCACATCTCCAGCTCATCTCTCGCCATGCCTTGCTGGCCCTGTACCTGCAGTCTTCCTGTCCTGTTGTTCCCTCTGCCCAGAATGCACTTCCCTCCACACCCTTCTTCTCATTTTAGGCTACCTGTTACTCATTAGGGAACCTTTAAAAAAAATCAAAGTAACACACTGTGTAAGACAAAAAAATCTTCAGTTGGGAAAAATCTGACGGGGGTGCGAGTTTGGGGGGGCAGGAATCCCACCTTACACAAAATTGTACCTCACAATTCAAAATTCAAAATCAAAATATATTTTAAAAATCTTCAGAGAAGACTAGCAAAGACAACTCTGTCCAACATAGACAGGATCCAATTCCACAGGCTGTGCTGGAATAAAGAATTAACAGGACATGCAGGGCCACAAGGACCCCTCGAAGTTGTTGCAGGAAGGCCTGGGAGACACTGCATAGAGATGACCTCCTGGCCGTCCTGTCAAAAGGGCTCCTGTAGCCCCAAGCCTTGGCCCACTCCCCAGCTGACTACCCCGTGTGAGATCTACCTCTCAGAAACTTTAGTAAACTACCTGACACAGGGGTATGGCAAAGCAGTGGCCACCGACCTCCCACTAAACATGGACAGTGGGGTGCTCTGGTTCATGGCTACATCTCCCTACATCCACATCTTCCCCCTGGTCCATTCTCCCCTTTCCCCTTCAGAAGGATCTTACCAGACGCCACATGACAATGACCCACTGCATCACTCACACAGCTCCCCTTGCCAGAGGATCAAATCGTCACCAGGAATTCAAAGCTGGTGGTACATGGGCCAGCTCTCCACAGCCACAAACCCTAAAAGCACAAAATCTGTCAACTGCAGATCAAAAGGGAAATAAAGCTTCATCTATAGTTAATGTGAACAGGGATTTTCTTTTTTCCTTATCATTATTGCTGAAACACAGTGGAACTATTCAGGTAGCATCTATGCTGTCTTAGGGACTATAAATAATCCAGAAGTGACTTAAAGTATATCAGGGGATGTGTAAAGGAATCACCACCCTCATGCATAAACAGCTGGCACATTGCAGGTTTTAGTATCTGGGGGTGGGGGTTCCTGGAACCGAGACCCCAAGGAAAATGAGCGAAGACTGTGTGCCCCTGGCCTATACTTAACCACTCTCATTTCAATGTCGTGGAAACTAGAATCTTTCTGGGTATTCTGATTCACCTGAGTTAT